TGTAAAAGGCGAGAAGATGCTCTAAGTCTAACAACACACCATACTCGGGCAGTTGAATACTTGTTGGCGGTTCGTGATGATTACGCGTCTAGAATGACAATGGGACGTATTAATGATGTTCAGTTCCATGTGAAGGGAGGAGCACGTGATTGTATTGTTGATTTGGGCCAAAAAAAATGTACATGTGGTGTCTTCTTCATCGAGAAGATACCTTGCTCGCATGCTATTGCCGCTTTGATAGAGAGTAAACAAGATGTCGCTACCGGTGTTTGCCCAATATATGGGAGGGATTATTTGTATTGGGCGTATGCGCAAAGTATTTTTCTGAAAAATCCAGTCGGTGAAGGTATAGAATCAACCCATGTCTGCCTCCTTTCGTGAAGACGCGTCCGGCTCGGAAGAAGAAATCAAGGTAGCAAACTTGGCTAGAAATCGTAAGGATGAAAGGTACTAAACCGCGGAAGATTCATGCTCAATACAATTGTTCAAAATGCAACCAACCGGGGCCATACAATGCTGAATTGTGGTACTTAATCTACTCTTCCGGTTTATTGTTTCATGTCATTTTTAATATTTGGTATGGTTTGTCAAATTGTGGTACTTAATCTAATCTCTCCGAGAGAAGANNGTNTNCTAAGGTTATNTTTTTTAGATTTTAAGATGATTTGCGTTTGTAGACTTTAAATTTGTTGTCTTTGTCGAACATGGTGCTATAAGGTTATGTTTTTAATTTTAAAATTTGTGATCATCTTACATTAGTATATGTACAAAACCATGAATATCGTACAATGAGAAGTCTACAAGAGAAATCTAAAAAAGAAATCTACAAGAGAAGTCATTAGTTTATAAATTATCAGTAGCTTAGCAATGGAATATACAAATCCCAAACAAAAACCAAAGTTTATCTGAGTCACATCCCGCCATAGTAGCAAAAAATATAGGATGAGTTAAAACATTATATTATATAAAATTTTAAAATGTTACATTTTAGTTGAATTTATATTTGTAACCCATGTATTTATGAGTTCATGTTAAAAAAATGTAAATATGTAGAGATTGTTGACAAAAAAAAATATATGTATATAGATTTCAATATATCTTATAAACTTGCTTGAAATGTTTTGATTGGTTAATTTAATTAAGGAAAATTAGCATGAATAACACAAAAAAAAACTATAACTAAAATTCTAACAAATTAACCTAGATCTAAAAATTCATGTTTTGCCACACATACTAATTTTTTTTACTTTTTAATTATAATATTTTTGGTTAGCTAGCAGTCCCTCTAATTAATGTATAATTTTTTCTTCCTTCTCCTTCAATGGCGTGAACCCATTTCTTCTTCCTCATACTCTTCCCTTTTCCACTCTAAAATTCTTCAATTTTCCCTCAAATTCACAGACCTGGATTTTGTGCTTAAGCTCATCTTCTCTCGTTTTGATTTTTGTCCAGAAAAGAGAATTGAAAAATTCGTAAGAGTAACACAAATTACTGTGTTGGTAGTGAGATCTAATCCTCTTCCGACTCGTTTTTCTATAGAGTAGCAATTAGGACTTCAATCTTCAATTTCATCATAGTATGAATCTTCATTACATTGTTTCTTGATTCGAAAAGTTGACTTTTTTCTTCCTACTTCATTACATCACATAGAATCTAGGCCTTTTCTAGTTCAATTCTTACATTTTCAAGTCAGAGTTGAAGTTCTGCCAAGATTCTTCAGTTGAGAGTACTAAAGTTTCGATATTTCTTGGATTGAAACATTAAAGTGTGTGCTTTGATCCTTAACCTTATGCCTTTGCTTCATAACTCTGTACGAATCTGATCTTGTTCATGTCGATTCTATGTGGTTGTTGCCCTCTTCTTGAATGTGTCTACTGTCTTGGTTGTGCTCGTTGGGCTTACAAACGTTGTCTTTACACAGCTGGTCACGACAGTAAAGACTGGGGGCTTGCAACAACGGATAAATTCGAACCAGTTCCTCGGTTCTGTCGTTACATTTTAGCGGTTTACGAGGAGGATATCCGGAACCCTGTATGGGAGCCACCAGAAGGATATGGGATTAACCCTGATTGGTTGCTTCTAAGGAAGACTTATGAAGACACTCAGGGTCGTGCTCCTGCTTATATACTGTATCTGGACCATGATCATAAAGATGTAGTTGTCGCGATCCGGGGGTTGAATTTGGCGAAAGAGAGTGATTACGCTCTGCTTATGGATAATAAGCTCGGGAAAAGGAAATTCGATGGTGGATATGTGCACAACGGGCTGTTGAAATCTGCGGGTTGGGTGTTAGATGAGGAATGTAAAGTTTTGAAAGAATTGGTGGTGAAGTATCCGAGTTATACTCTGACTTTTGCTGGACATTCGCTTGGGTCTGGTGTAGCTACAATGTTGGCTTTGTTAGTNGTTCGTCATCCAGATAGACTGGGGAATATCGATAGAAAGAGAGTCAGGTGTTTCGCTATCGCGCCTGCGAGGTGTATGTCGTTGAATTTGGCTGTTAGATATGCGGATGTGATCAACTCTGTTGTGCTTCAGGTGTGTCCTAACCTTCTGATACACGTTTTTGGTGTAAACATCGAATGACCAAGTTCATTTCTAAAGTGTTGAATCTAAAGTATTTGTTTTGTTTGCTGCATAGGATGATTTCTTGCCGAGGACAGCCACGCCTTTAGAAGACATATTCAAGTCTCTTTTCTGGTAAAGCTACCTAATTATGTCTCAAATAATGAAGATCATTTGTGTTTTCTTGGGGACAGTCATAACCATTCTATATGCAAAGGGTTTATGAAAGTATATTCTTTAATTTTCGAAACTTTCAGCGATGGTATCACACAATATTCTCTAAAGTCTGATTCGCAAAGTTAAGCAAAAAGAACCCGAAATAAATCTGTTCTTGCATGCTCATCTGGGACATTTTAGAGCTTTTGGTACTTTGTGCTCTAACTTCAGCCAAACGTCTGACCTTACACTTATCACCCATAGAGGTAAGATTTAAGATTCTCGGTGGTGGCTTTTTTTTCCTTGATTTGGGCTATCATTGTTTTGTATACTAATGTTTGTTGATAAAAAAAGAAAAATGTTTGTCCCATTCACAGATCAAGTATCCTACTGGTTATATCTTCTATCAGCTGGTATCTTTGGAGCTATGTACAGACAAAAGAAAGTGGTGGAATCTACTTTCGTTCATGTTCGATAGTTCTCCTAAATTGCAGATCCTCAAGCTCATCGACATAAGCAATTTCATTAGTTTTTTTTTCTTCCGGAGCTACACTTTCAGGTATTTTGATGATCTAATATCATATCAATTGCTTTGATCTCAGACTAATATGTACTGTAATGGAAATCTGGTGGGTTGGAAATGGATACAACCGAAATGTGTACCGGGATGTTTGTTGTTCCATCTTGAGACATTCATGTGGACAATGTACCAATGGCAAGGAGAAAATGAGAAAGAAGTGGCCTCGTACATCCTCAAGAACGCAAGACGGTTGAAGAAAGCAACTCTCTCCACAAAACCCATCAAACCAGAAGAGCTCAAAAAGTTGGAATGGAGACGTGAGGTGCTCAACGAGTTGGCTAGTGAGGCCAGGGCTTCAATGTTATGTCACCTCGAGTCTAGTATGGTGAGGGATTCAATTTCATGTCACCTCGTGTTCGAATCCAAGTGATCTCTTGAACTTTTACCAAGCTATTTTGGCCATTGGGAAATGTAAAATTCTCAACTTTTACCTATGGATTGGAAATGTTAAATCTTAGCGACATTTTGAGGAAGAGAATTAGAAGATAACTCTAAGGAGTAAGGGTAAATTTTTCCATATGCATGAGAATTCCTTAGCTATGTATTTAACTGCAGCAAAACAAAATGCTTCAGCAATCACAACTCCAATGGGGTTACTCAAATGTTATGAAACTGTAACTGCAAATTAGTAATGAATTTGACTCACAGATGCTGAACTATTATTTTCCAACTTCTTGAATTTAGCAGGAATTTCCTGTTTTTTATAATAAAAATGAATGGAAGTGGTGAAAGCTTTTTAAAACTCAAGATTATGCACCATTATCATCTATCTTAACGTGTGGTTACTGAAAATTCTTAGCACCAACAAAGTAATTTCACATGTTTTTTCTTTTCCATTGTGCAGAGAGAGGAAGAATAAGACAGTTTCACTCCATTGTGTTAGAAACATAAAAAAAATTGTATTTGTATCAATTAATGTATCGATATTTTTAAATACCTCTAATACGATAACCTCACTAATACAAACAAAAAAATCAATTTCTGTACTTACTTCGACTAACAAAACTACTGCCAGTCTGCCACCACATTATAATCCCTATATTTTTCCAATCATTATACCTTTTAATATTGTAAATTGATTCTTACACTTTTAAAGAATTCAACAGTCGAAAAAGAAAAAGGAATTCAACAATAAATTGGGCCTATGTCGAGACCTAATAATAAACCCATTTAAAAAAAAGCC